CCCACCCAGTAGCGGCAGAGAAGGAACGAGGCAGGGAGGCATGCACCCACCCAGTAGCGGCAGAGAAGGAACGAGGCAGGGAGGCATGCACCCACCCAGTAGCGGCAGAGAAGGAACGAGGCAGGGAGGCATGCACCCACCCAGTAGCGGCAGAGAAGGAACGAGGCAGGGAGGCATGCACCCACCCAGTAGCGGCAGAGAAGGAACGAGGCAGGGAGGCATGCACCCACCCAGTAGCGGCAGAGAAGGGACGAGGCAGGGAGGCATGCACCCACCCAGTAGCGGCAGAGAAGGGACGAGGCAGGGAGGCATGCACCCACCCAGTAGCGGCAGAGAAGGAACGAGGCAGGGAGGCATGCACCCACCCAGTAGCGGCAGAGAAGGAACGAGGCAGGGAGGCATGCACCCACCCAGTAGCGGCAGAGAAGGGACGAGGCACGGAGGCATGCACCCACCCAGTAGCGGCAGAGAAGGAACGAGGCAGGGAGGCATGCACCCACCCAGTAGCGGCAGAGAAGGAACGAGGCAGGGAGGCATGCACCCACCCAGTAGCGGCAGAGAAGGGACGAGGCAGGGAGGCATGCACCCACCCAGTAGCGGCAGAGAAGGAACGAGGCAGGGAGGCATGCACCCACCCAGTAGCGGCAGAGAAGGAACGAGGCAGGGAGGCATGCACCCACCCAGTAGCGGCAGAGAAGGAACGAGGCAGGGAGGCATGCACCCACCCAGTAGCGGCAGAGAAGGAACGAGGCAGGGAGGCATGCACCCACCCAGTAGCGGCAGAGAAGGAACGAGGCAGGGAGGCATGCACCCACCCAGTAGCGGCAGAGAAGGAACGAGGCAGGGAGGCATGCACCCACCCAGTAGCGGCAGAGAAGGAACGAGGCAGGGAGGCATGCACCCACCCAGTAGCGGCAGAGAAGGAACGAGGCAGGGAGGCATGCACCCACCCAGTAGCGGCAGAGAAGGAACGGGGCAGGGAGGCATGCACCCACCCAGTAGCGGCAGAGAAGGAACGAGGCAGGGAGGCATGCACCCACCCAGTAGCGGCAGAGAAGGAACGAGGCAGGGAGGCATGCACCCACCCAGTAGCGGCAGAGAAGGAACGAGGCAGGGAGGCATGCACCCACCCAGTAGCGGCAGAGAAGGAACGAGGCAGGGAGGCATGCACCCACCCAGTAGCGGCAGAGAAGGAACGAGGCAGGGAGGCATGCACCCACCCAGTAGCGGCAGAGAAGGAAAGAGGCAGGGAGGCATGCACCCACCCAGTAGCGGCAGAGAAGGAACGAGGCAGGGAGGCATGCACCCACCCAGTAGCGGCAGAGAAGGAACGAGGCAGGGAGGCATGCACCCACCCAGTAGCGGCAGAGAAGGAACGAGGCAGGGAGGCATGCACCCACCCAGTAGCGGCAGAGAAGGAACGAGGCAGGGAGGCATGCACCCACCCAGTAGCGGCAGAGAAGGAACGAGGCAGGGAGGCATGCACCCACCCAGTAGCGGCAGAGAAGGAACGAGGCAGGGAGGCATGCACCCACCCAGTAGCGGCAGAGAAGGGACGAGGCAGGGAGGCATGCACCCACCCAGTAGCGGCAGAGAAGGAACGAGGCAGGGAGGCATGCACCCACCCAGTAGCGGCAGAGAAGGGACGAGGCAGGGAGGCATGCACCCACCCAGTAGCGGCAGAGAAGGGACGAGGCAGGGAGGCATGCACCCACCCAGTAGCGGCAGAGAAGGAACGAGGCAGGGAGGCATGCACCCACCCAGTAGCGGCAGAGAAGGAACGAGGCAGGGAGGCATGCACCCACCCAGTAGCGGCAGAGAAGGGACGAGGCAGGGAGGCATGCACCCACCCAGTAGCGGCAGAGAAGGAACGAGGCAGGGAGGCATGCACCCACCCAGTAGCGGCAGAGAAGGAACGAGGCAGGGAGGCATGCACCCACCCAGTAGCGGCAGAGAAGGAACGAGGCAGGGAGGCATGCACCCACCCAGTAGCGGCAGAGAAGGAACGAGGCAGGGAGGCATGCACCCACCCAGTAGCGGCAGAGAAGGAACGAGGCAGGGAGGCATGCACCCACCCAGTAGCGGCAGAGAAGGAACGAGGCAGGGAGGCATGCACCCACCCAGTAGCGGCAGAGAAGGAACGAGGCAGGGAGGCATGCACCCACCAAGTAGCGGCAGAGAAGGAACGAGGCAGGGAGGCATGCACCCACCAAGTAGCGGCAGAGAAGGAACGAGGCAGGGAGGCATGCACCCACCCAGTAGCGGCAGATAAGGGACGAGGCAGGGAGGCATGCACCCACCCAGTAGCGGCAGAGAAGGAACGAGGCAGGGAGGCATGCACCCACCCAGTAGCGGCAGAGAAGGAACGAGGCAGGGAGGCATGCACCCACCCAGTAGCGGCAGAGAAGGAACGAGGCAGGGAGGCATGCACCCACCCAGTAGCGGCAGAGAAGGAAAGAGGCAGGGAGGCATGCACCCACCCAGTAGCGGCAGAGAAGGAACGAGGCAGGGAGGCATGCACCCACCCAGTAGCGGCAGAGAAGGAACGAGGCAGGGAGGCATGCACCCACCCAGTAGCGGCAGAGAAGGAACGAGGCAGGGAGGCATGCACCCACCCAGTAGCGGCAGAGAAGGAACGAGGCAGGGAGGCATGCACCCACCCAGTAGCGGCAGAGAAGGAACGAGGCAGGGAGGCATGCACTCACCCGGTAGCGGCAGAGAAGGGACGAGGCAGGGAGGCATGCACCCACCCAGTAGCGGCAGAGAAGGAACGAGGCAGGGAGGCATGCACCCACCCAGTAGCGGCAGAGAAGGAACAAGGCAGGGAGGCATGCACCCACCCAGTAGCGGCAGAGAAGGAACGAGGCAGGGAGGCATGCACCCACCCAGTAGCGGCAGAGAAGGAACGAGGCAGGGAGGCATGCACCCACCCAGTAGCGGCAGAGAAGGAACGAGGCAGGGAGGCATGCACCCACCCAGTAGCGGCAGAGAAGGAACGAGGCAGGGAAGCATGCACCCACCCAGTAGCGGCAGAGAAGGAAAGAGGCAGGGAGGCATGCACTCACCCAGTAGCGTCAGAGAAGGAACGAGGCAGGGAGGCATGCACCCACCCAGTAGCGGCAGAGAAGGAACGAGGCAGGGAGGCATGCACCCACCCAGTAGCGGCAGAGAAGGAACGAGGCAGGGAGGCATGCACCCACCCAGTAGCGGCAGAGAAGGAACGAGGCAGGGAGGCATGCACCCACCCAGTAGCGGCAGAGAAGGAACGAGGCAGGGAGGCATGCACCCACCCAGTAGCGGCAGAGAAGGGACGAGGCACGGAGGCATGCACCCACCCAGTAGCGGCAGAGAAGGAACGAGGCAGGGAGGCATGCACCCACCCAGTAGCGGCAGAGAAGGAACGAGGCAGGGAGGCATGCACCCACCCAGTAGCGGCAGAGAAGGGACGAGGCAGGGAGGCATGCACCCACCCAGTAGCGGCAGAGAAGGAACGAGGCAGGGAGGCATGCACCCACCCAGTAGCGGCAGAGAAGGAACGAGGCAGGGAGGCATGCACCCACCCAGTAGCGGCAGAGAAGGAACGAGGCAGGGAGGCATGCACCCACCCAGTAGCGGCAGAGAAGGAACGAGGCAGGGAGGCATGCACCCACCCAGTAGCGGCAGAGAAGGAACGAGGCAGGGAGGCATGCACCCACCCAGTAGCGGCAGAGAAGGAACGAGGCAGGGAGGCATGCACCCACCCAGTAGCGGCAGAGAAGGAACGAGGCAGGGAGGCATGCACCCACCCAGTAGCGGCAGAGAAGGAACGAGGCAGGGAGGCATGCACCCACCCAGTAGCGGCAGAGAAGGAACGAGGCAGGGAGGCATGCACCCACCCAGTAGCGGCAGAGAAGGAACGAGGCAGGGAGGCATGCACCCACCCAGTAGCGGCAGAGAAGGAACGAGGCAGGGAGGCATGCACCCACCCAGTAGCGGCAGAGAAGGAACGAGGCAGGGAGGCATGCACCCACCCAGTAGCGGCAGAGAAGGAAAGAGGCAGGGAGGCATGCACCCACCCAGTAGCGGCAGAGAAGGAACGAGGCAGGGAGGCATGCACCCACCCAGTAGCGGCAGAGAAGGAACGAGGCAGGGAGGCTTGCACCCACCCAGTAGCGGCAGAGAAGGAACGAGGCAGGGAGGCATGCACCCACCCAGTAGCGGCAGAGAAGGGACGAGGCAGGGAGGCATGCACCCACCCAGTAGCGGCAGAGAAGGAACGAGGCAGGGAGGCATGCACCCACCCAGTAGCGGCAGAGAAGGAACGAGGCAGGGAGGCATGCACCCACCCAGTAGTGGCAGAGAAGGAACGAGGCAGGGAGGCATGCACTCACCCAGTAGCGGCAGAGAAGGGACGAGGCAGGGAGGCATGCACTCACCCGGTAGCGGCAGAGAAGGGACGAGGCAGGGAGGCATGCACCCATCCAGTAGCGGCAGAGAAGGAACGAGGCAGGGAGGCATGCACCCACCCAGTAGCGGCAGAGAAGGAACAAGGCAGGGAGGCATGCACCCACCCAGTAGCGGCAGAGAAGGAACGAGGCAGGGAGGCATGCACCCACCCAGTAGCGGCAGAGAAGGGACGAGGCAGGGAGGCATGCACCCACCCAGTAGCGGCAGAGAAGGAACGAGGCAGGGAGGCATGCACCCACCCAGTAGCGGCAGAGAAGGAACGAGGCAGGGAGGCATGCACCCACCCAGTAGCGGCAGAGAAGGAACGAGGCAGGGAGGCATGCACCCACCCAGTAGCGGCAGAGAAGGAACGAGGCAGGGAGGCATGCACCCACCCAGTAGCGGCAGAGAAGGAACGAGGCAGGGAGGCATGTACCCACCCAGTAGCGGCAGAGAAGGAACGAGGCAGGGAGGCATGCACCCACCCAGTAGCGGCAGAGAAGGGACGAGGCAGGGAGGCATGCACCCACCCAGTAGCGGCAGAGAAGGGACGAGGCAGGGAGGCATGCACCCACCCAGTAGCGGCAGAGAAGGCGGTGTGGATGGTGGCTCTGAAGAGCGCATCCCGGCTGTTGTCCGAATCGATGCCCACCGTGGCCCCACTGCGACGATACGCCGTGTACAGCTGAGGGGGGGGGGCGTTGGGATTGGGAGTGGAAGGTGAGTGGGCAGAGGAGAAGGCACGAGAAGAGGGCCCACAGTGGCCCCACTGCGACGATACGCCATGTACAGCTGAGGGGGGGGGGGGGGGGGGGGGGGGGGGGGTTGGGATTGGCAGGGGAAGACGAGTGCGGAGAGGAGCTCAGAACCTCTGAGTTGTTTCTTGAGTGGTATCAACAATTGCTTTGCGCTGCTCAAGGAACAACTCATAGGCTTTCTTCGCCTCCTCCCCACCCCACCTCCTTTCTGCCATGTTCCGCTTCCAAAAAAAGAACACCCGCCACGTCCAACGTGTTTGTTTGTCGGAGGATATGATTCTAATGTTAGTGAAATGACCCAGTTTCGGCGTAAACAAGCATTGCTGCTGGAGTGAAAGAGAGGGCACAAGCCACTAGCTGCCGTGCAGGCTGCGCGCTCACCTGGAGAATGTCAGAGGCATTGAAGTCTTGACCCAACAGCCGCTGACTCAACATCCCTGATGGTGTCGGGGTGATTGTAGCAGCAGAGGGAGATGGTGGAGGAGAGAAGAGAAGTGGGAAGAGGAGATGATGTGCCTAGTGGAATGGAACGCTATGAGCAGACGGGATTCAGGAACAAGATAGAAAAGTCAGAGCAGCAGAGGTGGGAGATGCAGTGATGGAAGCTGAAAGCAGGGAGCAGGCAGGGACCGGCAAATGGGACTCACGCTGCACGACGAGATTTGCCTCCTCACTGCCCTCCCTCGCCACGCTCCATGCCCCACCCGCTGGCGCTCTCGCCTCTCTTCCAGCTCCTCCTGAAGCTACCATATCAGGCGGCGGCTCTACAGCAGACGAGGCAGAGGCAGCCAGCGCTGCTGCCGTGCTGCACGCCTCCCTCCACCACGCCGGCTCCTCCTGCCTCCCTGCCAGCCTCCCTCCCCGCCCTCCACTCCCCGCCTCCCCTGTCAGCAGCCCCATGGCCCTTAGCTCTCTTTCTGACCGCGATGTCTCTGCTGGTAAATCCAACGGACTCACCCCCTTCTGCCTCGCCCCTCCTCCCCTCCTCCACCTCCGCACACCACCACCACCCTCTCTCCCCCCAATCCCTTTCCCCCCTTCCCGCCCACTCTCCCCCCCGCCACCCACCCCCTCCCACCACTTGCGCCACCCCTCAGATGCCACCACCTCCTTTCCCCCCATCGACCGGTCCCGCACCACCCGCCTCCCCCTGCCCCTCCCCCCACCTCTCCCCCACCCCCACTCTCCCCAGCTGAGATCCCCCTCCGCCCAGCGGAAGCCCAGGAGGCGGAAGAAGAAGAGGGGGAGGGAGAGGAGGAGAGAGAGGAGAGCGGAGATGAGGGGGAGGATGCGGGAACGGAAGAGGAGGAGGGAGAGGAGGGATGTGAGGAGGAGGAGGGGGCGGAGGGAGGAGGGGCGGAGTGAGAGGGAGAGGCGGCCAGAGGGGGAGACGGAGACACAGGAGGTGAGAGAGGAGAGAGAGCGCCTGAGGAGGTGCCGAAGGGATGGGGGGAGGAGGACGAGGGACGGGAAAAGGGGGGGAAAGGGAGAAGTAAAGTTGAGAAGGGGATGAAACAGAGTAGAAGAGCAACGAAGGTGCGGCAAGAGGTGGGTGGCGGGGTGAGGAACGCACGAGAAAAGAGGGAATGCAGGAAAAACAGTGAGAAGCGCTGGGGTTCACTTCACACATGGTATGACGTGTGAGCGTTGGGTGTGGACAAGGGGAGAAATGTGAGACGGGATAGGAAGGTAAGGAAAGGTATGGGGTCAACAGAAGAGATGGAAAGGAAGAGGGGGAAGCGAGTGAGGAAGCAAGGAGCACTTGCCTCCTTGACTTCCCTTATTCAAAATCCAAACTCGCCTGCATGTAACGCTCGCTCGTTTGCCAATTGCCTACCTCCGTTCCACATATCTCCCTATCCCCGCACGCACGCACCGTCCACTCAACCCCCCTCATGCACCACCCCCCTTCCCCTCATGCGCCATCCATCTACCCCCTCACGCAGCTTCATCCCACTTGCTGTCAAACCATCGCCTTATCGCCAAGGCCACACCACACCACACGCCTCCACTCGCCTCCACTCGCCCTCGCCACTATCTCCACCTCTCTTTCCAATTTCCCCATCCCTCCCCTCCGCTCCGCCTATCCCTCCCCACTGCGCCAGCCCCTTCCCTCCGCTCATACCTCCCCTCTGCGCCCGTCCCTCCCCTCTGCGCCCGTCTTTCCCTTTCGCGCCCCTTGCTCCCCACCCTATTTTCCCCCCCCCCCCCCTCAAACCTCACGCCCTGCCTGCTCCCTCTGGTCCCCTTCACGCCCCGTCCAACCCAACCCACATTTCCCCCCCCCCCCATTCATCCTCGCCCACCCCCTTTTCCCCGTCACCCCTTCCACATTTTCTCCCCCTCTCGTTTCATGCATCCCTCTCTCCCACACTCACCCCTCTCTCGTCCCCTCCCCCTCCCCCCCAACACTCTTCTCTCACCGTATATTATCACTGGCTCGCTCCCCCAGCACCCCCGCTGACGTCAGCAGATTTTTTCCACCGCTCTGCACCGCGTCAGCTCCCATCTTGACCGTCTCCCCCACATCCTCAACCCGCAAAGTTTTCAGCCGGGCAGCTGCTTGCAGCGCGTTTTGTTTCACCTGCCCGAGGTCCAGCTCCATCCTCCATACGTCTTCCTCCTCGTTCTTCCCCCCAACGCCACTCCTGCTCCCCCCTCCGCCGCTTCCTCCGCCCTGCGCCTTACCACCCCTTCCCCCTTCCACCCCTCTCCTCCCCTCCAACGAATTCAGCCTATCAGCAACCGCCTTATCAGCGGCTGTCCTATCACGATTGGCCACGTGTCTTTGTGGCTCCGGCTCTCGTCGGCGGTGGTGCCTGCGACCATTGCTAGCAGCGAGGATGACAATAGCGGGTCGACGGGGGGATGAGCGGAACGGCACGATGCGAGGCGAGGGAATACGAGGGAGAAAGGACGAACGCGTGCGACATAATGAGTCTGTGCGACACTTCGCCGACTCTGTGCGACATAGCGACTGCGTGCGACACGCTGACCAATGGAGGGTTGAGGCCATGCTGGGGTTCCCTTGTCAGAACGGCGACATGCTAGGTTTGCATGATATGCGGCTTTGATTGTGCACAGCAATCGTCGCAGGACGCCTGGACTCGCAATCTAACTCGCTTCAAACGCCAATACCTAGCGCAAAGCAGATGCGCGGAGAGCAAGGCTCAGCTGAAGGTCGGATGAAAGGAGGTTCCAGGGGCTTCACACGAGTGACGTCTTCGTGTTGCCTCTGGCGGTTCTGAAATGGGCGTTCCTAGAACAAAAATCGCAACCGATTTGACGGTGCAGCATGCATGTTGATACGAACTTAGTTATAACCCCGGGAGTAAGAACGGTGTACAAAATGCTTGTGATGTACCGAGGACGACTGTACAAGCGGAAAACCGTGTCCCGCACTGGGTTGACCAATCAACGACGCGATGCCACGTCGCTAGGTGCTGCTGCACCCAGAAGCTAACACCACCACAGCTCAGCCGTACTGAGCCTTCGTTTTCTACCTTCAACACCTAAAACGTATATATGTACCACACCATACCTCCCAGGCCTAGCCTCGGCCCACAATCAGGTGTTGCTCGTATTTGTACGACCTAAATTTGTGTGTCGTAGGTTGCCTGACCTGACCGGACCTAATTTTGTGTGTCCCTTAGTAATAGCTGTTCCAGACAACTCCTCCAGTCCCCGTCACGCGAAGTCAGCGAAGCGTGCGCGCAGTTCAACACCGAGATTTGCGCGCGTCGATCTCGAGCTAGTTGGCGCTGCCCGACCTGTTCGTCTCGCGCGTCTCGCTCATGATTCACGCAGTGCTGCGGCGACAGTAGCCATGCCGTACATCCGACAAGGTGGGCCTCTTAGCGTAGCGTGCTGGCGCTTTCGGCGTGTCGCCTGTGAATTGGCTTTAGTCAAGGGAAGGACGGGAATTTGGAAGCGAGCACGAGGCATGTCCGTTGACTGTTAAGTTGACTCACAAGCCACCGCAGCGGCGAGCGTGCGGAGCGGGGAAGGAGAAGATTTTCAAGCAAGTGATCGTGTCGTCTGCTCTGCGCTCACCGCGCAGCTCGCCTTCTCGTCCGCCGTTCCTCCCCCACGGACCCTCTCGTCGCTGCCACCTCGTGTCGTCCGACAGGCCGCAGCCACCCGTCTTTATTCCGGCGTCCCGGGTCCCGCTAACCCTACGCGTTGTAACTTTCCCAGTATCCCACCGGGGTTGTCAGTGGGGGCCTTGCAGGAAAAGCCGCGTTTCACACTGCGTCGGCGTCGGCGTCGGCGTCGGCGTCTGCGTCTGCGTCTGCGTCTGCGTCTGCGTCTGCGTCGGCGTCGGCGTCGGCGTCTGCGTCTGCGTCTGCGTCTGCGTCTGCGTCTGCGTCTGCGTCTGCGTCTGCGTCTGCGTCTGCGTCGGCGTCTGCGTCTCAATAGCGCCGATGCGCGCACCTCCTCGATCGACGTGTTCCACAGGGCCTCTGCAGCACCGTCGATGCCCTCCGCGCTCGTCGCCTCCGCTCCACGCGTTGCCCGTCATTCGCTTCCCCTCCCACGCGTCTCTCCTTCCCTCCCTTTCCGCTCCAGCCTCACTCTCTTCTCCTTCCTTCGCTCTCACCCCGCGCCCTGCTGGACGGGAAGTTCGCGCGCATCGCGCGTGGGGTGTTGTGCGCGGAACGGGGGATGGCGGGTGGAGGCGGTACACGTGGGGCTGGGGGCAGATGGAAAGTGGGAGAGCGGGAGGTAGAGACCAGCAGCCTGGGGGACCGCTGCACAGCGCAGTTCATGGCGGTGTGTTGGGCACTGCACAGCAACGCACCACCGCTATCAAACCCTGCCGTCTCCCATATGAATCTCGTCCTTCTCCCTGTGTTCCCGTTCCCCATCCTCCCTCCCTCTACCTTCCATCCCCGCTTATATTGCTCCCCTCCCCCCCCCCCCCTTTTCCCCCCACCAGGCGAGGTGGTGGAGAGCCTGTCATCATGGCCACATGTGTTAATCTTTCCCCTCGTTCTGTCCTCTCGCCGCCTCCTCTTCTCGCCTTCCCTTCCCCATCCCCCCCCCTTTTCCCCCCACCAGGCGAGGTGGTGGAGAGCCTGTCATCATGGCCACATGTGTTAATCTTTCCCCTCGTTCTGTCCTCTCGCCGCCTCCTCTTCTCGCCTTCCCTTCTCCATCTAACCAGGCGAGGTGGTGGAGCGTCTGTCGCCATGGCAGCTCGCCTTCTACGTCGATTTCTTCCGCCGTCTCTTCCGTCTCATCAAGATGTTCTTCTACACCCTCTTCTCGGTACACTCTCCTCTCCTCCGCGTCCTTCCCCCTTCCCAGCTTCTCATCGTGCTTTCCATAGCAGTCCTCCTTTCCTCACTCCCTCCCTCCCGCCCTTGCTCTCCCCGGACTGGCTCGATAGAGACTCAGTAGGGCATGTGGCGAGGGAGAACCGGCAGCAGCTCACTCTTCTCCTTCTCGCCTCTTTTTCCACGCCTTGCCTCCTCGCCCGCACAGCCTGATGCGGCAGGAGTGAAGAAGACCAAGGGCAGAGGAGGGGGGGGGCAGGGCGCATGGGGGGGCAGCGCTGGGGGCGGAGGGGGTGGGGGAGGGGGAGGCGGAGGAGGGGGGGGAGGTGGTGCTAGGAGGGGACTTGGAGGGATGAGCAACGTGCGGGGCATTGATCACTGTGAGTTGGTGTGTTTGCGAGTCATACATGGGCGTGTGTGAATCTTTCACAGGAGGAATCTGGGGAAGGAGGGACGAGTGGACGCGTCATTTTCAACTTTTCCCTGCCAATGATTGCTTGCCTCTTCTTTCGCTCAAAGCCCCCCCTCCCCCCCTCATGTCTGCTGCTTGTGCTTCACAACAAATTCCTGCTTTCCTTACATGCCTTCCTCCCGGTCCACCTCTCTCTCCCTTCCCTGTCCGCTTTCCACTTTCCACTTTCCCAGGTGCTTCTGCGGCGGGTGCCTGAGGCCGGTAAGGCACTCCACCTGCTGCTGCTGACACTGCCCCCGTCAACTCATGTCATGAGATTGGAGGGCGGTGTCAGAGCAGCCACGTGCTCGTCTCATGTGCTGCTGCTGCACGTGTATGTGTATGTGTATGTGTGTGAAAGCACGCACACAGCATGTGCTGTGCGGTGAGGCCATGGGCGCGTGTGCGTGAGGGTGGAGTGCCGCGATCTCGCCACCAGCAGCGGCTTTGGTGCCGGATGCTGGCAGTGATGGCTGGGCGGCAAAGTCAACCGCACATGCATGGAGGCATGGTTGCATGCATGGCACGGCATCATGCAGCGATGCAGTGGTGCCATGCTGCGACTATCATCAGCCTGCAGCAGTGCGGCCATGCGCAGTGTTCATGACGCAGCCGTGGGAAAGCCTTTGAGGGCACCACGGCTGCCGACCCAATGCTGTGCCATGGACTGCTGTCGCCCAGACTGAGGGGACTGTGGAGGGTGGTGCGGGCGCTGATGCCAGTGCTTGGGTTGGCCGATGTTCAGAAGGTTGGTGTGGTGGGTATGAAGGTTGTGTTGTGTAGAAATGATGCGGTTTGGAATATGGTACAATATTGTGATGAAGTCATTGTGGAATATACTTGACTGGTTCTCATCCCGTTCATTAAGGCCCTCTTTGGGGGCAGCACAAAGTCTGTGATCCGAATTGCTTGACTAGGTTCAGAAGCTACCGGTAATACCGTCATACCCCGGATAGTAGCGCAGATGCGCTTATAATAAAATCTTGATTTTTTTTTGGTGCGCTTATAATCGAGTAACGGCCATAAGCGCCGGCGCCTTTATAATGGCAAAAATGAAATTTGTTTGTAAGGGTACCAAAATGAAGCTTGCAATAAGGCGAACACAACGATGTGCCGTTCACGTGGGGTCATGCATGGAATCCTCGCGCTATTCGCCGCGATTCGATTCCCCACCGCACACTTCACGTCCCAGTGCAGCGCACCTGCCAGCGCTGACACAAAAGCTGTCGTGCGGCCCAATCGGGTTGTCATGCGCGGCCAGGCAGGACAACTCATCCGAACCCTCTCGAAGGGTGTGGAATATGCCCTGCCAGCACAGCACGTCTGGTGCCATGAACCCTCCTCTGCGGGTTCAGGCAGGGTGATTTTCGTCTTTCATTGATGAGGACCCCGAGGCGCTTTCCTGAAGGGGTCCTCTTCAATCGTTCATTTCTTCATTCATGCTTTGCGTTTCCCATTCACTTTCTTGTTCACGCCCGCCTGGCTGCGGAAGCCATGGCGGAATTCACAGGCACTCATTTCCTTTTCAAGAAAAAACCTAGGCCCGCTTACACAGTTGACGCTGACGGATGGTACACACGTATCCCACCAGAACCACCATCGCCACCACAGCCTCCTGCTCCTCCTGCGCCACCTGCTCCTCCTGCGCCACCTGCTCCTCCCGCTCCTCCCGCTCCTCCTGCTCCTCCGTATCAGGCGTTCCCACAACCGCCTGGGAATCATCCCGTGCTTACGCTCTTGCTCCCGTCCACCTTCGACGAGTACCTGTCTGAACCGGACAATAACAAGGGTCCAGACGTGTATGTACGGGCTCCGGCACCTGCACCAAGATGGGGCGCGCCTTAAGAATGCACGTGGGACGAATCTGCCGTCGGCGCCGACGACGATGTGGCTGACGCCGCGGAAGAAGGTCGTGCCGAGGGCGACAACGGTGCCGAGGATGGCACGGAGGCCGAAACCGAGGCTGGCACCGCGGCCGATGTGTTTCCAGAGGGTGAACCAGGCGCCACCGCCGACGACGGCGTCGAATACTGGTCTCGCGATGGGCTCCCTGAGAAACTCCCGATTCCGACTTTCCCTCCTGTTAACCGCAAGCGACCTCACCCTTCTGCTGAGAATCGTGATGCCCGCCCCCCCTCTCCCAGGAACAAAGTCAACCAGCATAAGCGTCAAGCTTATACTGCGCAAGAAAAACTGCAGTGGGTCGCGCGGCTGGATGTGGGGGTGTCGGTGCGCTCCTTGTCTCGAGAAAGCGGCATCCACCGGAAGTGTCTCACGGAGTGGAAGCGCGCCGCCGATTTCCTCAAGGAGGTGCACGCCGCACGGAAGCGCATGCACGGCCGCGGGAGGTCTTCATGGTACCGCCCGATGGAGCTGAAGGTGTACGAAAAGCTACTGGAGTGGCGCCGCAAGGGAACAGCAGTCTCCGTCGGCCGTCTGCAGGAGTGGTCGCACGAGTTCATGAAGCTGCTCTACCCGCTTGTGAAGTGGAAGGGCAGCCAGCGGTGGTCGGAACGGTTTCGGAAGCGGTGGAATCTGAGCGTCCGCATGAAGACGCGCGTCGCCCAGAAAACTGCAGCCCGTAAGTCTTAACCGTGTATCAAGCCTGTGGGTCGTTCCAGTTCATGTATACTGACGCATCTTCTTTATGTGCCTCGTTTTTTTACAGATGTCGCGGAGATGTGCCGCAAGTTTTGGCAGTACGTGCGTGATAGGCGGCGTGAGCGCGGCATCGAGACTACGTGGATCATCAACGCCGACCAGACGCCGCTGTGGCTGGAGATGCCCGCCACCACCACCGTGGAACAGACAGGCGTGCGGTCGGTGCCCATCCGGAGTGCGGGATACCAGAAGGAGCGCGTCACCGTGATGCTGGCGTGCACGGCGGATGGGGAGAAACTCAAACCATGGGTTTTTTTCAAGCGCAAGACAGTGCCGAAGGGAGATTTCCCGCCCGGTAAGAAATTGCACTTTAAATGGGTTGATTCGTTGCTTTACTAAATCGTCGCTAACCACCCTGCCCGTGTATCATTGTGCAGATGTCGTCGTCGCCTGCCACGAGAACGGGTGGATGGACGCCGAAGGCGTCATCCGATGGCTGGAGGAGTGCGTCCAACCGTTTCTTAGGCCTCGATTCGGCAGGCATGCAAGGAGCGCGATGGTGGTCCTCGACTCCTACCGCGGTCACCTCACCCAAGGGGTCAAGGACAAGTTCGCCGAGCTCAACATCGTGCCGGCGGTGATCCCGGCAGGCTGTACGGCGGAGATTCAGCCGCTGGACGTCTCTATCAACAAGTCGTTCAAGGCCTCCGTCCGCCAGCAGTACCAGAAGTGGTTTGAAGACGAAGGCCAAGAGCGACTGACAGCAGCAGGTAAGCTTACATAGAAGAACTACAGTCGTTCCTTGACATGCTCTCGTGAACCGTTTATTAAAACTGACGAGAGTGATGTGTCTCTGCCTGTTGGTGCAGGGAACCTCAAGAAGCCGCCTCCTGCGGTGGTAGTGAAGTGGATCTCGCGGGCATGGAAGGCAGTGCCCGCGGACCTCATCAAGCGCGCCTTTCTCACCTGTGGCATCAGCAACGCTCTTGACGGCAGCGAGGACTCGCTTGCCATGGCGCACAGGCGAAGCCAGCTGACTCGTGAAGTCGATGTCGATGACGACATCATCGCTGACGGCTTCTTTGGCAACAACTGCCAGGAGCCCGAGTCTGACGAGGAGGAGTAGGTAGCTAGGCTGTAGTCGGACTTGAGTAGCTGGTTCAACCTGAGTAGGCTGTTGTGTATGAACCTTGAAATTGATAGGGTGAAACAACTCTTGTTAGGAATTGTTTAAAAAATGTAATGTTCTGTGAAATTAGATTGATAAGTAGATAACAGACTTTGCACATGCGCTTATAATAAGTTCAGACCTGAAAAGGGGTGCGCTTCTAATCGAGGATCCTCTATAAGCGCCATGCTCCAGATAGAAGCGCCGGCGCCTTTAATCGGACGGCGCTTATATCCGGGCCATACGGTAATGACAAATTACCACTTGCGAAAAAGTACAGTCTTCTCCAACACGTTTGATCCCCCGTTTTTAGCCATGTATCGGAGCAGGCACACAGCAGCCCGTTCAGCGAGCTCTCCCTTCCACTCGGTATTAGGCAGTGGTCGTCTTCGCAGCGCCTTTCGTTCCACGATCGGCGTGCTGAACAGCATAACCGTGCGCGCGCAGATCACGCGTAGACGGCTTCGACTGTAGCTTCCCCAGAATGCACGGCGCACTCAGCCTGGTGAACCGCACGGTGAACCCACTGGCAGTCGCGCCACGCGCAGTTCCTCTTGTGCAAACGCGTGAATTTGCAATCAGGGAGCAGCGATGGTAATTAGGGTTTCCGGGATGTGACTACATCCGGGCAGCGAGTATAGCTCGAAAACCGTGAATTCTCCATTGTGAATATCAGCAGCCGCACACTCCGCTAATGCCATCGGAGGACATTGCCGTGACGGCATTGCGGGGCTAGTGAATTAGGTACCCAGATATTCGCGACGGTCAATGTCCCTCTAACACATCGCCGACTGACGTTGTCGTGATGGCTGTCGCGCGCGTTGCGGCGGCGCTGCTTATATTCGCCGCCGCCGCCGCCGCTGGTGAAGGGCCCGTCGCGAGCGGGGCGTTAGCGAGAGCGAGGGTGGGCGAGCTGGTTGGGGTATGGCGGCGAAACGGTTCGCACGGTGAGGTGCGGGATGACCGTGACTGGCGCGTGGGTGGGAACGACGATGCTTGGAGGGGGTATGATGTTGAAACTGGCACGAGGGGGGATGTCGTGAGTGATCGTGTGATTGGGGGATTACTCGAACGTGCTGACATTGACGGAGGTGACGGTGACGGAGGTGACGGCGACGGAGGTGATGGTGAGAGGGAAAGCGCTGATGACGACGATGTGGGTGGGTGGTTGTCAGGGCGGCAGTCGCAGCAGGCCATGCGTGGCAGCGACGAGAAAGGGACGTGGCGGCGGTCGCCAAGGGGCGCGCTGTGGGAGGGGCAGGGGGAGCGGAAGTGGGAGGGGAGGTGGGAAGCGACACGGGGAAGGGAGGTGGCGGAGACACGAGGAGTCTCAGTGGGCGGAGAGGCGCGCAGGCGAGGGGAGGGCAGGCGAGGCACGGGTGGGCGACGCAGGCTGGCGGATGGGCAAGGCAGTGAGGGGGGCGGTGGAAGTGAGGGGGGCGGGGGGAACGGCGTCAGCGGCGACGGGCGTGAGGGCATGCACGTGGGCGCGCGTGGGGGCATGGCGGGCCCTGGGATGTGGGCGGACGGAGTTAAACGGCACACGCGGCGGGCAGGGGACAGATGCTGGAGCCAATGGGAGATGCGCATGTATGTCACGGTGAGATGCATGTATGTCACGGTGAGATGCATGTATGTCACGGTGAGATGCATGTATGTCACGGTGAGATGCATGTATGTCACGGTGAGATGCATGTATGTCACGGTGAGATGCATGTATGTCACGGTGAGATGCATGTATGTCACGGTGAGATGCATGTATGTCACGGTGAGATGCATGTATGTCACGGTGAGATGCATGTATGTCACGGTGAGATGCATGTATGTCACGGTGAGATGCATGTATGTCACGGTGAGATGCATGTATGTCACGGTGAGATGCATGTATGTCACGGTGAGATGCATGTATGTCACGGTGAGATGCATGTATGTCACGGTGTATCATGTATGTTACGCTTAGATTCCGCTCCTGTCTGTTCTCTTGTTTCACCGTTCCCTCCTCACCTCCTCTCCTCGTCTTCCTGTCCCCTACTCGGTCTCAAGCCTCACTCACTCATCAATTCGCCCCGTTCTTCTGCATGTCCTCTGCGTCGCGCCCCCCCCTCTGCGTCGTGCCTCCCCTCCCCCTCTGGGTGCATGGCAGCGGCCTGACCGCCAGCTGCCGCCATCGATGGCGTTGAGGCGGCGTCTGTCGGAGTACCGTCGCATGCACCGCCGCTGCACGCAGGTCCACGACTGGCACGCCTTCTACCGTGACCCGTGAGCCTTCTATTGCAGCCTGTTAGCTTTTCGATTCCATGCCTCTGCCGTTTCTAATCCAAGCATCCTCCATGCCTCTGCCTTTCCTATTCCATGCCTCTGCCGTTGCCATTCCATGCCTTTTTCGCATCGCCCCACCCATCTGTGCACCCGTCGCCCCATCAATCACTGTGCGGGGGGGAGCAGGTCCACGGGGTGGAAGGACGGCATTGAGGGGCTGGGGAACTGCAAGTATCTCTTCTATATGCCGCCCGCCCGCCATGGTAAGCGGCAGAAGTGTGTATGTTAGCGGGAGAACCACACCGCAAGTTGTTGATACTTCTCAAAACATTTAATGGGACCAAGATAAATGTGGGGTCTCAATCTTGACTGGATCCCACGCGCCGCCTGCTCCCGCCTATCACAAGCTTTGCGCGGAGCATGCTGCCCATTATGCACCGGCCGGCACGCTCGTTTGTTCTGTCTGGTGCGTGCTGGAAACGTGTGATGGCCGAGAGCAACTGGGAATCGTGGTGTGCACGTGCGCTAAGAAAGCTCCCGAGAGCGAATGGAAGGCTGAGCGAGCGGGGTGCAAAGAAGCGTGTGAGAAAGCAGTTGAGGTTCGTCCATTGGTGTGTATGTATGTAAGGCAAGTACGCCGCTGCTCAGGATGGTTGCAGTCGTGCTATGCATTCGCCTCAAATCTTCCTATCCACCTGTGCCGTGGCTTCTCCTGCTCCATGGGTGCAGGGGTGGGCAATCGCATAATGGCGCTCATCTCAGCCTTCTCCTACGCGCTGCTGACAAACCGCACGCTCATCATCCCACCCGACTCCTTCCTCTTCCGCTTCTTCTGCGAACCCTTCCCTGGCTCCTCCTGGACCATCCCACTCGATGCCTTCAAGTGAGTGTGAGACCCCATGCCATGCCATGCATGCTGGGTGCACAGTACCCTATGCATGCTGGGTGCACAGTACCCTATGCATGCTGGGTGCACAGTACCCTATGCATGCTGGGTGCACAGTACCCTATGCATGCTGGGTGCACAGTACCCTATGCATGCTGGGTGCACAGTACCCTATGCATGCTGGGTGCACAGTACCCTATGCATGCTGGGTGCACAGTACCCTATGCATGCTGGGTGCACAGTACCCTATGCATGCTGGGTGCACAGTACCCTATGCATGCTGGGTGCACAGTACCCTATGCATGCTGGGTGCACAGTACCCTATGCATGCTGGGTGCACAGTACCCTATGCATGCTGGGTGCACAGTACCCTATGCATGCTGGGTGCACAGTACCCTATGCATGCTGGGTGCACAGTACCCTATGCATGCTGGGTGCGTAGTACCCTATGCATGCTGGGTGCACAGTACCCTATGCATGCTGGGTGCACAGTACCCTATGCATGCTGGGTGCACAGTACCCTATGCATGCTGGGTGCACAGTACCCTATGCATGCTGGGTGCACAGTACCCTATGCATGCTGGGTGCACAGTACCCTATGCATGCTGGGTGCACAGTACCCTATGCATGCTGGGTGCACAGTACCCTATGCATGCTGGGTGCACAGTACCCTATGCATGCAAGCTGTGTGTCGTGTGCCATTGTAACGAGGTGACTTTTGAGTCGACTCAAAAGCCGCCCGACTTCTTCCTCGTCCGTTTCTTCTGCCAACCCTTCCCTGGCTCCTCCTGGACCATCCCGCTCGATGCCTTCAAGTGAGTCGAGTCGAGTCCCCATGTTCATTTTTTAGTTGACTCAAAAACCAATTCCTTCCCCGCCTCCTCCTGGACCAACCCCCTCGATGCCTTCAAGTGAGTGTGAGTCCCCATGCATGCAAGCTCGGTGCACACTGCAAAGTACCCCAAGTCAGTATCCCTGTGCTGAGTCGATTTTTAAGTCGACTCAAAATATCCCTGTGCTGTGCCTCATCACTGCTCTGCTCTGCGCCCCTGCACTCGGCTCTGTGCTCGTGTGCTGCTGTCCACCACCAAGGCACGCACCGGGTCCGCACGTCCCCTCCGCACCACTGTCTTTCACATGACCTCCTCACATCTCCTCACATGCCCTCCTCGCGTGCCCTCACATGCCCTCCTCGCGTGCCCTCACATGCCCTCCTCACATGCCCTCCTCACATGCCCTCACATGCCCTCACATGCCCTCCTCACATGCCCTCACATGCCCTCCTCACACGCTTTCCTGCCTCCCCTCCCAATTACCCTCGCCACATTGTGCACCCCATCGCACCTGCCCCATCCCCCACCCCCCGCCCCCAGCACCATATCCCAGACGGTGCACAGATCGCCGGCACGCAACCGAGGAATTGTCGATGGATGGGATGGCCATGACGTCAGCATGCACATGTCATGGGAGTGAGTGACGTCAGCATGCACATGTCATGGGAGTGAGTGACGTTCAGGGTAAGAAATAATGGTCGTTATAATTTACTTTAAACATGGGTATCGTATGAAACAGTTACAGTCACATTAACCTGTAGTTTTTTTTGTTTGGCGGAAAAAAAGTTTTTTTGTACAGTCATTTAGTAGGGAGAAGGGTAACCCATCAATCAACTTAGAAGCCTTTTCTTGTATGTTTCCATTCGTAGCAATAATTGGGATTTCTTCGACCTCTTCGTTTTCTCTCTTTTCTTTTCTAACAAGAAAAGAGCTGTTGTTTTTTTTTTTTTTTCCCTAATTCATTTATTTTTTACCGTAAATAATGGACCTAATTTTATGGAAATTGTATATATATATATTTTTTTACTTGGTGACGCCAGCATGCACATTTCATGGGAGTGAGTGACGTCAGCAAGCACACGAAGCTCTTGCTGCTGCCAGCACGCTGCGCATGTATGGCATGGCATGTGGCTCGTGAGGAGCAAAGACCATGGCGAGGTTCGGGTCCCATTGGAGCTGCACCTTCTCCTGCTCACCCGGTGCATGCATGCCCTCCTTGCTTGCTCTCCTCACCCCCTCATCCCCCCACCTTCCAGTTCTTGCTTATCTTCCCACTCCCTGCTCTCCCCCCACCCACTGCTTAGCTCCAAGGCGGACACGTGGGGCATGTTCTGTGAGGCGGAGCAGCAGGCGATGGCAGCAGCACGCTTCGCCACGCTCTACACCGACTACTTCCTCGTGCCGCACTTCTACCTCGTGCCCATGCTGCAGGTACAGTGCCCATGCTGCAGGTGCAGTGCCCATGCTGCAGGTACAGTGCCCATGCTGCAGGTACAGTGCCCATGCTGCAGGTACAGTGCCCATGCTGCAGGTACAGTGCCCATGCTGCAGGTACAGTGCCCATGCTGCAGGTACAGTGCCCATGCTGCACTGTACAGTACCACCAATGGTACACTGCACCCCTCATTGTCACCACACTCTATTCGCCCAAGCATGTCTTCTTCCGTTCCACACCCATCTTCTGCCTGCTCTCCCTCTCTCCATTCCCCCCTTATCGCACCACACTCCCTCTATCTGCCTCCGCAGGTACAGCTTGACACCCTCTTTCCCGATCGACGAGTCTTCACCCACCTTTCTCGGTCAGTTACCGCCCATCCCTCCATTCGTAACATCCCTCCATTCGTAACATCCCCCAACCCAACTAGCTGTCCTACTCCATTCCCACTGTGAATGAGGCTAGGCTTCCCAGTCGCATGGGGTTTGTCTAGGCTGATGACTTGTTGAGGTCTGAACTTGTGATTTTGTGTGCTCGTAACAATTGCCGATAAAATAAAACATAACCAGTTCAATGCAAACCCCATGCGGCTGGCACGGTCTGGCCCAGCACAGCCGGTTCTACTCGAACTTGTCCGAAATCAGTCTGACCACCCATCCGCTCCTATCCAACGCGGTTCAGTTAATCTGGCTCGGGTTGAGAGGGTTGGAACGCGGTTGGAAAGAGGGTTGGTTGGAGAGGTTGGAGGGTGCGAATGAATGGGGGGGGGGGAGGGGGGGGAGGGTGTGTGGGTGGGGTGGCGTGTCGTTGGGCATCTCTGTCTGTCCCCTTGGCCCCACGCAGGTACCTGCACTGCAGCACCCCCTGTGGTTCCAATCTCTAGCACCAACCTCGCCAATCACCTGTGTGCCATGCGTGTGCCATGCGTGTGCTGTGCGTGTGCCATGCGTGTGCTGTGTGTGTGCCATGCATGTGCCGTGCTGGTGCCATGCATGTGCCGTGCGGGTGCCGTGCATGTGCCATGTGTGCACCATGCATGTGCCATGTGTACACCATGCGTGTGCCATGTGTACACCATGCGTGTGCCATGTGTGCACCATGCATGTGCCATGTGTACACCATGCGTGTGCCATGTGTACACCATGCGTGTGCCATGTGTGCACCATGCATGTGCCATGTGTGCACCATGCATGTGCCATGTGTGCACCATGCATGTGCCATGTGTGCACCATGCATGTGCCATGTGTACACCATGCATGTGCCATGTGTACACCATGCATGTGCCATGTGTGCACCATGCATGTGCCATGTGTACACTAGGGATGAGCACCGGACGAACATCGAACATGTTCGTCCGAACATCCTCGAACACACTCTGTGGGCGGGGCGAACCGAACAGGTTCGCCCGAACTAGTTTTAATGGAAAACCATGTTCGAGGTTCGCCCACTGTGGGCGAACCTCTTAAAGGGGCCCGAACTTGTGACATGTTCGGGCGAACCCGAACATGTTCGGGTTCGCCCAACACTGCGGGGGGGGGGGGGGGGGAACCAGTTCACGTTTCAGTGGATGTGAACCCCCAGTGGGAAAATGGATGCTCATTCCTTTACCAGTCTCACCCCTTGTACTCACCTATAAACCATGGAAACCTGTTTCAGAGCCGAGGAGAGGAGCACTGTCAACAAGGCATAGCGAACCCAGCAACGCGCACCCTGTCACCATAGTTACAAGCAGGGCAAGGTTCTAACCGTTACAACCTGCTGGCACAACCCTAAAACATATCCTAACACCCCATTTGTGCCTGACTAAAGGTAGATTTGGGCGATTTAGTATAGGAAGGTAAGTGGGATGGCGTATAGGCTAGGTCAACACTAGGAAAAGTAAATCGAGATGTGAAACAGCTCGATTTACTTTTTCCGTCACTTACGTAGCCAACCAGCGCGACCAATGTCGCGCTGGAAATTTCCCGAACATCTCAGATGTTCGGGAGAACGCGGTACATGCCCGAACATGTTCGATGTTCGGGCATGTACAAATGCGCGCGCCGCGAACGCCCGAACATGTTCGGGCCGAACCCGAACATGTTCGCGCGAACATTTTAACGGAAAAAAACAAAATAGTTCGGTTCGCCCCCGAACATGTTCGGGCGAACCGAACACACGTTCGCGATTTTGCTCATCCCTAGTGTACACCATGCATGTGCCATGTGTGCTCCGTGCATGTGCATGTTCATGTGCGGTGCAGGTACCTGCTGCACCCCGCCAACTACCTGTGGGATCGCATCACCCGCCTCTACCACGGGCACCTCGCCCACCACTCCCTCACCGTCGGCCTGCAGGTCCGCCCAGGGCGTGAGCAGGAGCGGGTTAGGGGGAAGGGAGGTATAGGAGGGGGAAGTGGGATAAGGGAAGGGGAAGGAGGGTTGGAGTTGGGTGGGAGGGATTGTGTTGGAAGGTCGGAATGGGAGGTTGGAGAGAAGGGGAATGAATGAGAAGGGGAATGGGGGTGGGGGAATAAGACAGGAAATAAGACAGGAGGGATGGATTATGAGAGTGGGATTTGAGTTTATATGTTTTCACCACATCTTTATGCCTACACGTTTTGTCATCTGTATGCATGCTTGTGTGCGCTCTCGTGCGTGCGCATGTGTGCACGTGTGTGTGTGTGTGCGTGTGTGTGTGTGTGTGTGTGTGTGTGCGCGCGCGCGTGTGTGTGCATGTGTGTGTGCATGTGTGTGTGCATGTGTGTGTGCATGTGTGTGTGCATGTGTGTGTGCATGTGTGTGTGCATGTGTGTGTGCATGTGTGTGTGCATGTGTGTGTGCATGTGTGTGTGCATGTGTGTGTGCATGTGTGTGTGCATGTGTGTGTGCATGTGTGTGTGCATGTGTGTGTGCATGTGTGTGTGCATGTGTGTGTGCATGCGTGTGCATATGTTTGAATGTGTGTGTGCATGTGTGTGTGCATGCGTGTGCATGTGTTTGAATGTGTGTGTGCATGTGTGTGTGCATGTGTGTGTGCATGTGTGTGTGCATGTGTGTGCATGTGTGTGCATGTGTGTGCATGTGTGTGCATGTGCATGTGTGTATGCATGTCAGATCCGCGCATTCGAGGAGACAGAGGAGGATTTGATGGTGAACGTGTTTGAGTGCGCCACCAACATCGCCAGAGTGCTGCCACCTGTCATGCCCACCAACCAATGGCGCGAAACCGCTACATCTGTGAGTGGCATGTGGGGAACGCAATGCAGCTGCTGCTGCCATGGCGTGGGGACTCTCTCGTTCCATGTAGCTGAAATGGCCCGATCCGTTGCTTTGGATGCAAGCATACTACAGTGCAGTGAACCAGCTCTATCCCATGTGGAACCGAAGCAGCACTCGTGAGGCGCTCCATTATCGGACCTCAGCACTCGTGAGGCGCTCCATAATCGGACCTCAGCACTTGTGAGGCGCTCCATTATCGGACCTCAGCACTTGTGAGGCGCTCCATTATCGGACCTCAGCACTGGTGAGGCGCTCCATTATCGGACCTCAGCACTGGTGAGGCGCTCCATTATCGGACCTCAGCACGTGCACCAGTTACCTCCATGCACTCTCCCCACGCACCACTCCCCATGCCCCGCTCCCTATGCGCCACTCACCATGGCCCACCCCCTACCAACGTGCACCACCCACCCCGGGTGCCACACAGGTGACGGAGGAGGCGCTGCTGGGCATGCACGGGCGCAGCATCGGGGCGCTAGTGGTGTCATGTCACTCAACCCCACGCACTCCCTCCATGCCTCACTCCCCACCAATGCACACCACACGCCCACACAGGTGACAGAGGAGGCATTGCTGGGCATGCGCGGGCGCAGCATCGGCGCGTTGGTGGTGTCGCTCAACCCCACGCACGGCGCCAAGCTGCGCGACCGCTACATGCTCGGCAAGCCACTAGACGGCTCCACCGTCTCCGTCTTCAGGTGCGCTCCATGCACCATTCAGGCGTGATGGTGCCCTGCCATCCAGCACCATTCAGATGTGTTGAGCTGGACCCCACGCACGGCGCCAAGCTGCGCGACCGCTACATGCTGGGCAAGCCACTAGAGGGCTCCACCGTCTCCGTCTTCAGGTGCGCTCCATGCACCATTCAGGTGTGATGGTGCCCTGCTATCCAGCACCATTCAGATGTGTTGAGCTGGACCCCACGCACGGCGCCAAGCTGCGCGACCGCTACATGCTGGGCAAGCCACTAGACGGCTCCACCGTCTCCGTCTTCAGGTGCGCTCCATGCACCATTCAGGTGTGATGGTGCCCTGCCGTCCAGCACCATTCAGATGTGTTGAGCTGGACCCCACGCACGGCGCCAAGCTGCGCGACCGCTACATGCTGGGCAAGCCACTAGACGGCCCCACCGTCTCCGTCTTCAGGTGCGCTCCATGCACCGTTCAGGTGTGATGGTGCCCTGCCATCCAGCACCATTCAGATGTGTTGAGCTGGACCCCATGCACGGCGCCAAGCTGCGCGACCGCTACATGCTCGGCAAGCCACTAGACGGCTCCACCGTCTCCGTCTTCAGGTGCGCTCCATGCACCATTCAGGTGTGATGGTGCCCTGCCATCCAGCACCATTCAGATGTGTTGAGCTGGACCCCACGCACGGCGCCAAGCTGCGCGACCGCTACATGCTGGGCAAGCCACTAGACGGCTCCACCGTCTCCGTCTTCAGGTGCGCTCCATGCACCATTCAGGTGTGATGGTGCCCTGCCATCCAGCACCATTCAGACGTGTTGAGCTGGACCCCACGCACGGCGCCAAGCTGCGCGACCGCTACATGCTCGGCAAGCCGCTGGACGGCTCCACCGTCTCCGTCTTCAGGTGCGCTCCATGCACCATTCAGGTGTGATGGTGCCCTGCCATCCAGCACCATTCAGATGTGTTGAGCTGGACCCCACGCACGGCGCCAAGCTGCGCGACCGCTACATGCTGGGCAAGCCACTAGACGGCTCCACTGTCTCCGTCTTCAGGTGCGCTCCATGCACCATTCAGGTGTGATGCTGCCCTGCCATCCAGCACCATTCAGATGTGTTGAGCTGGACCCCACGCACGGCGCCAAGCTGCGCGACCGCTACATGCTGGGCAAGCCACTAGACGGCTCCACCGTCTCCGTCTTCAGGTGCGCTCCATGCACCATTCAGGTGTGATGGTGCCCTGCCGTCCAGCACCATTCAGATGTGTTGAGCTGGACCCCACGCACGGCGCCAAGCTGCGCGACCGCTACATGCTGGGCAAGCCACTAGACGGCCCCACCGTCTCCGTCTTCAGGTGCGCTCCATGCACCGTTCAGGTGTGATGGTGCCCTGCCATCCAGCACCATTCAGATGTGTTGAGCTGGACCCCATGCACGGCGCCAAGCTGCGCGACCGCTACATGCTCGGCAAGCCACTAGACGGCTCCACCGTCTCCGTCTTCAGGTGCGCTCCATGCACCATTCAGGTGTGATGGTGCCCTGCCATCCAGCACCATTCAGATGTGTTGAGCTGGACCCCACGCACGGCGCCAAGCTGCGCGACCGCTACATGCTGGGCAAGCCACTAGACGGCTCCACCGTCTCCGTCTTCAGGTGCGCTCCATGCACCATTCAGGTGTGATGGTGCCCTGCCATCCAGCACCATTCAGATGTGTTGAGCTGGACCCCACGCACGGCGCCAAGCTGCGCGACCGCTACATGCTGGGCAAGCCACTAGACGGCTCCACCGTCTCCGTCTTCAGGTGCGCTCCATGCACCATTCAGGTGTGATGGTGCCCTGCCATCCAGCACCATTCAGACGTGTTGAGCTGGACCCCACGCACGGCGCCAAGCTGCGCGACTGCTACATGCTCGGCAAGCCGCTGGACGGCTCCACCGTCTCCGTCTTCAGGTGCGCTCCATGCACCATTCAGGTGTGATGGTGCCCTGCCGTCCAGCACCATTCAGACGTGTTGAGCTGGACCCCACGCACGGCGCCAAGCTGCGCGACCGCTACATGCTCGGCAAGCCGCTGGACGGCTCCACCGTCTCCGTCTTCAGGTGCGCTCCATGCACCATTCAGGTGTGATGGTGCCCTGCCATCCAGCACCATTCAGACGTGTTGAGCTGGACCCCACGCACGGCGCCAAGCTGCGCGACCGCTACATGCTCGGCAAGCCGCTGGACGGCTCCACCGTCTCCGTCTTCAGGTGCGCTCCATGCACCATTCAGGTGTGATGGTGCCCTGCCATCCAGCACCATTCAGATGTGTTGAGCTGGACCCCACGCACGGCGCCAAGCTGCGCGACCGCTACATGCTGGGCAAGCCACTAGACGGCTCCACTGTCTCCGTCTTCAGGTGCGCTCCATGCACCATTCAGGTGTGATGCTGCCCTGCCATCCAGCACCATTCAGATGTGTTGAGCTGGACCCCACGCACGGCGCCAAGCTGCGCGACCGTTACATGCTGGGCAAGCCACTAGACGGCTCCACCGTCTCCGTCTTCAGGTGCGCTCCATGGACCATTCAGGTGTGATGGTGCCCTGCCGTCCAGCACCATTCAGATGTGTTGAGCTGGACCCCACGCACGGCGCCAAGCTGCGCGACCGCTACATGCTCGGCAAGCCACTGGACGTCTCCACCGTCTCCGTCTTCAGGTGCGCTCCATGCACCATTCAGGTGTGATGGTGCCCTGCCATCCAGCACCATTCAGATGTGTTGAGCTGGACCCCACGCACGGCGCCAAGCTGCGCGACCGCTACATGCTCGGCAAGCCGCTGGACGGCTCCACCGTCTCCGTCTTCAGGTGCGCTCCATGCACCATTCAGGTGTGATGGTGCCCTGCCATCCAGCACCATTCAGATGTGTTGAGCTGGACCCCACGCACGGCGCCAAGCTGCGCGACCGCTACATGCTGGGCAAGCCACTAGACGGCTCCACTGTCTCCGTCTTCAGGTGCGCTCCATGCACCATTCAGGTGTGATGCTGCCCTGCCATCCAGCACCATTCAGATGTGTTGAGCTGGACCCCACGCACGGCGCCAAGCTGCGCGACCGTTACATGCTGGGCAAGCCACTAGACGGCTCCACCGTCTCCGTCTTCAGGTGCGCTCCATGGACCATTCAGGTGTGATGGTGCCCTGCCGTCCAGCACCATTCAGATGTGTTGAGCTGGACCCCACGCACGGCGCCAAGCTGCGCGACCGCTACATGCTCGGCAAGCCACTAGACGTCTCCACCGTCTCCGTCTTCAGGTGCGCTCCATGCACCATTCAGGTGTGATGGTGCCCTGCCATCCAGCACCATTCAGATGTGTTGAGCTGGACCCCACGCACGGCGCCAAGCTGCGCGACCGCTACATGCTGGGCAAGCCACTAGAGGGCTCCACCGTCTCCGTCTTCAGGTGCGCTCCATGCACCATTCAGGTGTGATGGTGCCCTGCCATCCAGCACCATTCAGATGTGTTGAGCTGGACCCCACGCACGGCGCCAAGCTGCGCGACCGCTACATGCTGGGCAAGCCACTAGACGGCTCCACCGTCTCCGTCTTCAGGTGCGCTCCATGCACCATTCAGGTGTGATGGTGCCCTGCCATCCAGCACCATTCAGACGTGTTGAGCTGGACCCCACGCACGGCGCCAAGCTGCGCGACTGCTACATGCTCGGCAAGCCGCTGGACGGCTCCACCGTCTCCGTCTTCAGGTGCGCTCCATGCACCATTCAGGTGTGATGGTGCCCTGCCATCCAGCACCATTCAGACGTGTTGAGCTGGACCCCACGCACGGCGCCAAGCTGCGCGACCGCTACATGCTCGGCTAGCCGCTGGACGGCTCCACCGTCTCCGTCTTCAGGTGCGCTCCATGCACCATTCAGGTGTGATGGTGCCCTACCATCCAGCACCATTCAGATGTGTTGAGCTGGACCCCACGCACGGCGCCAAGCTGCGCGACCGCTACATGCTGGGCAAGCCACTAGACAGCTCCACCGTCTCCGTCTTCAGGTGCGCTCCATGCACCATTCAGGTGTGATGGTGCCCTGCCATCCAGCACCATTCAGATGTGTTGAGCTGGACCCCACGCACGGCGCCAAGCTGCGCGACCGCTACATGCTCGGCAAGCCACTAGACGGCTCCACCGTCTCCGTCTTCAGGTGCGCTCCATGCACCATTCAGGTGTGATGGTGCCCTGCCATCCAGCACCATTCAGATGTGTTGAGCTGGACCCCACGCACGGCGCCAAGCTGCGCGACCGCTACATGCTCGGCAAGCCGCTGGACGGCTCCACCGTCTCCGTCTTCAGGTGCTACCCCACACCATCTACGTTCTCTAGCATTGGTGCTGGTTTACCAGACAGGATGTTCTCTGCTTTGCTTACTCAGGGGGGTTCGCATGCCTCTCTTGCGCTGTGTGTTTGCACGCAGGAATGGCTTTCGTTTTTCATGACAGAATGGAGCATGAAATGAATGGCTTTCGTTTTTCATGACAGAATGGAGCATGAAATGAATGGCTTTCGTTTTTCATGACAGAATGGAGCATGAAATGAACGGCTTTTGTTTTTCATGACAGAATGGAGCATGAAATGAACGGCTTTTGTTTTTCATGACAGAATGGAGCATGAAATGAAGAAGGAATGCCATCTTTTCTACACATCTCCCACCCATGCACCATCTCCCATGCACCATAACGCATGCATGATGCATTTGGCAGTGTGAGTGGCGAGGGCGAGGAGAAGCAGGACGACCTGCTGCAGTACGAGCTCGCCGTCACCGAGATGTGGCTCCTCGCTTTCTGGTGCCCCCCCCCCCCCCCCCCCCCCCCCCCCCCCCCCCGACACCCCCTTCTCTGCCCTCACTTTTTTTCCACTTCCAGTCCCCCCCTTCTCCGCCCTCACATTCCCAGTTACAACCTCGCGTGATCCATGCTTTCGGATTTCTTTTTGCAGCCATCTACCTTTAGCATTGCTCACATATGTGACTATCTGCGACTCTTCTCACACCTCTTCTCTCATCCCGCTCTTTACACCCGTATACCCCTCAACATTGATCTCTCACACGACTGATTGGTGGTGGTTCCCTTCCCCCCCCGTGCCCGTGTGGTCATACGCCCCTGTGGTGCTGTCATGCCAGCGATGTGCTGCTGGTGACGGACACGTCAACGTTTGGGTATGTGGCGGCGGGGGTGGCGGGGGTGACGCCCTACACCATGAACGTGGCCAAGTGGAAGCACACCGACTGGCGCTCCAACGGCCGCCTCGCCTGCATGCTCGGCTCCTCCGAGCCCTGCTACGTGCACAAAGTGGAGGAGAGCGTTCTGGTGAGTGGATGACGGTGGCCAGTGCGCTTGTCGTTGCTACCCCATAAGACTGTCTTCAACTGTGAATGACTAACCCATGCCTGCATGCTCGGCTCCTTCGAGCCCTGCTACGTGCACCAAGTGGAGGAGCAAGTGCTGATGAGGGGATGAGGGCATGGCCGTGGGGTGTGCGCTCCTCAACACCATCCCTGCCAACCCCTCAACACCATCCCTGCCAACCCCTCAACACCATCCCTGCCAACCCCTCAACACCATCCCTGCCAACCCCTCAACACCATCCCTGCCAACCCCTCAACACCATCCCTGCCAACCCCTCAACACCATCCCTGCCAACCCCTCAACACCATCCCTGCCAACCCCTCAACACCATCCCTGCCAACCCCTCAACACCATCCCTGCCAACCCCTCAACACCATCCCTGCCAACCCCTCAACACCATCCCTGCCAACCCCTCAACACCATCCCTGCCAACCCCTCCGCAACACCCGTCCATCCCCTCCCCGCCCTGCAGTGTCCCGGAGAGCCAGAGAAGCGGCCGCTGGAGAACATACCGCAGACGCGGGCGTGCCATGCCACGGGCGTGGGGCTCACCACCAACCTGCCGCCGCTGCCGCTGCCGCTGCCGCTGCCCTCCCAGCATGACGCCTTGGACGGCGCACAGCAGGCTCATCCACGTGCCCCTGATGGCCCTCTGGCTGCTGCTGCTGCTGCCACTGATTCTGCTGCTGGCATGGGTGCAGGGTTAGCAACAGCAGAGCAGGGAGGGCGAGAGGGGGAAGGGCGGGGTGAGCAGCGGGAAGGGGAGCAGGGAGCAGGGGGTGCAGCGGATGGTGACCCCTATTATCTGGATGAGGAGCAGACCTGAGGGAAGGAAACTGTGGCTGTGACTTCTCTGGTCAACAAGCATTGTTGTGAACAAGAAAGCATTGTTGTAACCCTAGAGGTGATTTTTTTGCAAGCACATTTTCTATGTGGCCATTTTTTCCGTTGGGAAACTGTAGTTGAATTTGATGTGGTGAATGTGGTACTGTAAAATGAATTACGGTACCTATCCCTGCTCTGTGCAGTTCTGCCCAATGTAGGGAATCCATGCTCCGTGACAACGTCCTTTATATGCACGCTTGTCGAGATCTAAACTTGTTACACGCGTGGTTACACCGCAACTTGTAAAACATCGTGTAAGGAATTTTACCTAATTCCTTACTGAGGCACTTCATGCGCGTACAACTCCAACTTTTGGAGTAAAGGCATTTAGACTCAAAGGTAGGGCGACAACGTCCTGTACGTCAACAAGGCCATGGTTGCCTTGTGTCAAGAGCAGAGACTGGAGCACAGAACGAAGCACATCGCTCTGCGTGACTTCCTCGCTCGAAAACTGCAGCAGCGTGGTCAGTTTCACCTTGCTTATGTGGCCATACAGGCCAACACCGCTGATATCTTCACCAAAGCCCTAGGGTTTGGCGATCATCAACGTTTCTGCTCAACCTTCGCGGGGTGGGGAAGGGGCAGCGCGACGGCTGCCGGCGGTCGCGCGGGGCTGCTGGCGGTAGCGCGGGGTGGGGCAGGGGCAGCTCGACGGCTGCAAGGGGCGTCGCGCGGGGCTGCTGGGGCTGCGCGCGGGCGACGAGGGCGGCGCGCAAGCAGCTGGCGCGGTGCGCGGGGCTGTAACAGGCCGCGCGTGGCGATAGGGGTGGCGTGCGGGACAGCAGGGGCGGCGCGCGCGATAGCAGGGGCGGCGCGCGCGATAGCAGGGGCGACGCACGGGGCAGGGGAAGCAGCACGCGGGCAGCAGGGGTCGTGCGTGGGGCAGTGCAGGCCGCGCGCAATGCAGTAGAGGCAGCGCGCGTAGCTGCAGGGGCGTCACGGGTGGGTACTACAGGGTAGGGTAGGCTGTGGGGTAACGCAGTAACGGGTGGGCCCTAACAGAAGCGGTCCTACGGACCTACTGCTCTGATACCATGTTGAGAAAGCTAGGCATGAATGGTTGAACTAGGAAGCATTGGGATACAAATATGAAACCCTAAAGGGGTTGTACCCCTTAGTGGCTACCCCACTGTAGCCTACACAATATGCATAACATATATGTTTAACACCAGCCGTTCACTAACAGTCGTGTCTGTGTTCCCTTATGCAGGCCTTCCACCCATTTCAAGAACCGGTCCGGAAATCCCATCGCCCTCATCGTCCGAAAGAGATACCGCGTGAGACCGAGTCAAACGCCTTTTTGAAATCCACGTTGTAAGAGGAACCAATCCTCATTGTCCCTCCGGACTGTATCAATGATGTCAGCAACAAGACCCACCGTGTCTATCAGGCGCCTCCCTGGTAGGAAACCGTATTGCTCCGGCGATATCACCGTGCCCAGAATCTTCTTCATTCTGTCAGCCAGAACCCGCGCCAGCACCTTGTAAGTAAAGTTAAGCAACGTGATAGGTCAATAATTGTTTAACTGATCCTTGTCGCCCTTTTTGTGAAGCAGGATTGTAACCACCTCCTTCACCTCCGTTGGGAGCACCGCTGATGATGCGAAAGCCTTGGCAAGAGCCATGAAGCCCTTTCCCAACAGGTCCCAGTGGGCTTCGAACAGCTCCTTCGGCAAGCCATCTTTCCCCGGCGATATGTTCGCTGCCATTGCGCTAAAGGCCCGCTTCACCTCCTCTTCTGTCTAGTCATGCAACAGGCAACATCGATCTTCAGAGTGGCCATGATACGCACATGGAAGGAGTGGGGTGCTGCCTTGCGAACCATATTCGAGCATGTATCTGCCTCGGATTTCGCTCGCATGAAGCTGCGTGCCTGGAAGTAGTTTACATCGGTCCAAGACTACACAATGACATTCTGCCGACCAAGTGGACGATATGGGCGATGCGGAGCGGCTCGACAAATATGTCGCAGGCTCAAGTACGAGATAAAGTTCGAGGTGCAATATACGAGGCCACGCGACTTCAACGATGTCGTCCAGGTGGCTGAATCATCGGATGCGCTGAAGTAGTGGGCGAGGATGCGTTCTCAATAGAGCACTCGTTTTCGTGGATCGCCTCAACTGCCCACGATCAACGGTGTGGATGCGCTTGGACAAGCCTCAGGGTCGTGCTTCAACTGCAACCAACCGGGCCACTGGAGGAAAGACTGCTTGAAGCTAAAACAGGAAAGGAAACAGGAACGACGGAGAGGGGTCGGGAAAAGAGACGAGTCAGTAGCAGTCGGGCCACCTACTGACGAGACCCCGTCGTCTGGCAATCACCATCTACACTGTGTAGTGGTACCGATACGGGCTATCGACCGCAACCGGACGAATAAAGTGGATGAACACGTGGATCACCCTGTGCTGGTCGTGGGGAGGGTTAACGGTTATAAAATAAAAATATTCGTTGACGAAGGGGCTGGCTACAGCCTCATCAATCTGTCAACGGCCAGAAAAACTGGAGTTAAGCTGGACAGTGTCTACCGGAGATCGACGCAAGATTGGTGGATGGGACACCGCTAGCGATACGGGACGAGGTGCGACAAATTCGGATGAAGTGTGGCGACGATTTCGGGTTCTCGATGAAGATGCTGGCGACAACACTGGACTGTTGTGATATGCTGCTGGGGCGAGATTGGCTGCAGCGATTCAGTCCGACGATCGACTAAGACGACGGGAGCGTGCACGGTGCTTGGCAACAATGGGCGCGTAACACTTCCGAAATGGACAAAGCCGCAGCCGATTACGACACGTGTCAATGCGATCACGCTGACGAGGGCGATAAAACGGGGAGCGCAAGGCTACGCCGTACAGCTGTACGAGGTGGTGGCATCCGAAAAAATCGCCGACATTGACACGCTCTGCGCTGCTGTACCTGAAGACGTAGGGAACATAATTCGGAGGTATTCCAAAATTTTCGCGGATGTCCTACCTTATAGGCTGCCACCTCAGCAAGCAGAAGGCCACAGGATCGAGCTGGAGTCTGGCGCGCAACCAACTGTTCAGTCCCAGTGGCGGCTCAGCCAACCGGAGCTCGACGAGTTGCGGAAACAGCTGGATTATCTGGTCTCGAAGGGATTTATCCGACCGAGCACGTCACCATTTGCCGCCCCGATACTGTTTATACCGAAGAAGGATGGAGGCTTGCACATGTGTATCGACTATCGAGCGTTGAATCAGATCACCATCAAGTCACGTTACCCAATTCCGCGAGCAAACGACCTGTTGGATCAGCATCGCGGGGCTCGCTACTTCGCGAAAATCGATTTGCGAGGTGGCTACCATCAAATTCGCATGTTCGCCGACGACTGCTCGAAGACTACTTTTTGCACCCGCTATGGCAGTTACGAGTATACAGTGATGTCGTTCGGGTTGCCGAACGCACCATCAACATTCTAGTTGACCATGAACGGGGTGTTCCGGCACATGCTCGACAAAAAAATTATCGTTTACCTGGACGACATCCTGGTGTACAGCAAGACTCGGGAGTACCATTTTCGAGATTTGGAGGAGGTGTTCCGGCGCTTGCAGCAAAACCGACTGATTACGAAGGGCTCTAAGTGCGAATTCTTACATCCGGAGCTGGAGTTCCTGGGGAACGTGGTTTTAGGGGAGGGTATTAAAATCGACCCTCGCAAAGTGACAGCAATTTCACACTGGAAGCCGCCTACGAACATCACAGAGTTGCTGAGTTTCCTGGGCTTTGTTAACTACGTCCGCCGTTTTAAACCGAATATGGCGGGGGTGACCAAGCTGTTAAGCGATCTACTGCACAAAGGCGCACTGTTTCTGTGGGGGGAGAGAGAGGAGTAGGCCTTCGACGTGCTCAAAAGAATTTTGAGTTCGCCCCCAGTACTTTGGCTGGCAGATCCATCTCGACCGTTCGAAGTCGTGACGGACGCCAACAATTTCGCCATCGGAGCCGTCCTTCTACAAGTTTTTGGCAACGACCTGCAGCCAATCGCGTACGAGTCATGCAAAATGCAGCCACCCGAGCGCAACTACCTGTACACGATAAAGAGATGCTCGCCATTGTGCATGCATTTCATATCTGGCGCTGTTATCTCACGGGAGTCGATGTCACGGTCGGGACTGACCACAAGTCATTACAGCGCAACCAACCACAACTCAAACCGCGCCAAATCAGGTGGCTCGATTACCTCGAGTCAAATTTCCGCTACACCATCACGTACAAGAAGGGCGCCAACAACATCGCCGACGCTCTGACCTGCCCATCAATGCAGACCACAGCATCACTAATCGCCCATTCCAACCCACTCTTTTCGGGACTGTTTTCCCACGGATACAGGATCGACCACTTCTTCAGGAAAAATGAACGCATACGGGTCACCGCGCCACACGGTAATTATTACCTAAAAGTTAGTATGGACCGAGTTTGGGTCCTCTCATATCGACCCTGACGGGAGTTGCTGACGCAGGAGGTACACGACTCCAACCTCTCCGGGCATTTCGGCATTGACAAAACACTGAAGCTGCTGCACCGGCATTACTACTGGCCCGACATGGCGTCGGACGTGCAGTGCTACATGACAGCTTGCCCGACCTGCCAAGCCATTAAGTCATTGCGACAACTCCCAGCTGGACTGCTGCAACCCCTAGAGCCACCCGAATGGCCGTGTCAACAGGTGACAATTGATTTCGTCACAGGATTACCAACTGGCGCAAGTGGCAATGACTCGGTGTTGGTCTTCATTGACCGCCTAACAAAAATATTGCATTTCGCACCGTGCCGCACGACGATTACAACCGAAGAAACTTCGAAACTGTTCATCTCGTCCATCGTACGCCTATACGGGTTATCTTCGTCGATCATCAGAGATCAGGACCCCAAATTTACGTCAAAGTTCTGGCAGGAGATGCGGGCACAGTACGGCAACAGC